ACAATAATTTTATAGAAAAGGTTTCAAAAGTATGTGAATACATACAGAAGTGAATTAATAATTCTCTCTGGGTAGATGAATCCAGAACGATTTCATTCAGAAGGAAGCATTTGTAATGGGCCTTGAAGTGAGGGTAGGTCATTGCAAAACAGAAAGTAGGAGAAGTTTATCAAGGTAGGAGAAATATATGAAAAGATACAGAATAATGTGAAGAAAGGAAGATGACAATCTATCACTTTATAGCTGAGGGGACTTGTGAATCTAATGTTCCTGATCCCAGGATCTCCAGTCATTTTCTTTTTTTTTTTTCCATTTATTTTTATTAGTTGGAGGCTAATTACTTTACAATATTGTACTGGTTTTTGTCATACATTGACATAAATCAGCTATGGATTTACATGTACTCCCCATCCCAATCCCCCCTCCCACGTTCCTCTCTACCCAATCCCTCTGGGTCTTCCCAGTGCACCAGCCCTGAGCATTTGTCTCATGCATCCAGCCTGGGATGGTGATCTGTTTCACCCTAGATAATATACATGTTTCGATGCTGTTCTCTCGAAATATCCCACCCTCGCCTTCTCCCACAGAGTCCAAAAGTCTGTTCTGTACATCTGTGTCTCTTTTTCTGTTTTGCATATAGGGTTATCGTTACCATCTTTCTAAATTCCATATATATGTGTTAGTATAGTGTATTGGTCTTTATCTTTCTGGCTTACTTCACTCTGTATAATGGGCTCCAGTTTCATCCATCTCATTAGAACTGATTCAAATTAATTCTTTTTAACAGTTGAGCAATATTCCATGGTGTATATGTACCACAGCTTCCTCATCCATTCGTCTGCTGATGGGCACCTAGGTTGCTTCCATGTCCTGGCTATTATAAATAGTGCTGCAATGAACATTGGGGTGCACGTGTCTCTTTCAGATCTGGTTTCTTCAGTGTGTATGCCCAGAAGTGGGATTGCTGGGTCATATGGCAGTTCTATTTCCAGTTTTTTAAGAAATCTCCACACTGTTCTCCATAGTGGCTGTACGAGTTTGCATTCCCACCAACAGTGTAAGAGTGTTCCCTTTTCTCCACACCCTCTCCAGCATTTATTGCTTGTAGACTTTTGGATAGCAGCCATCCTGACTGGCGTGTAATGGTACCTCATTGTGGTTTTGATTTGCATTTCTCTGATAATGAGTGATGTTGAGCATCTTTTCATGTGTTTGTTAGCCATCTGTATGTCTTCTTTGGAGAAATGTCTGTTTAGTTCTTTGGCCCATTTTTTGATTGGGTCATTTATTTTTCTGGAGTTGAGCTGGAGGAGTTGCTTGTATATTTTTGAGATTAATCCTTTGTCTGTTGCTTCGTTTGCTATTATTTTCTCCCAATCTGAGGGCTGTCTTTTCACCTTGCTTATAGTTTCCTTTGTTGTGCAAAAGCTTTTAAGTTTCATTAGGTCCCATTTGTTTATTTTTGCTTTTATTTCCAGTATTCTGGGAGGCGGGTCATAGAGGATCCCGCTGTGATTTATGTCGGAGAGTGTTTTGCCTATGTTCTCTAGGAGTTTAATAGTTTCTGGTCTTACGTTTAGATCTTTAATCTATTTTGAGTTTCTTTTTGTGTACGGTGTTAGAAAGTGTTCTAGTTTCATTCTTTTACAAGTGGTTGGCCAGTTTTCCCAGCACCACTTGTTAAAGAGGTTGTCTTTTTTCCATTGTATATTCTTGCCTCCTTTGTCGAGATAAGGTGTCCATAGGTTCGTGGATTTATCTCTGGGCTTTCTATTCTGTTCCATTGATCTATATTTCTGTCTTTGTGCCAGTACCATACTGTCTTGATGTCCAGTCATTTTCTTGATGTCAACTTGACAACATATGCAAACTTGGAATTGCCACTTAAGATGGCTCCTGGCCATTAATTCATTGGTTAATGTCTGCTTATTGTTCAATTAATCCTAAAACACCAAAAAGCAAGAAAGGTTGGTGGAACCAACATTTGCTGAGGCTTCAGGAGCAAGAAAATTTGGGGATTTACCACTCTCTGGTAACCCTGATTGGCATCAGTAGAAAGCATGGAGAGTAGCAGAGAATTATAATTCCATGCACCATTCAAGGAGAAGGTGGTCCAGGGTCATGATAGCGCCTTACTATTGAGATACATCCCCAAAGTCTTTTTAAACTCGGAAACAATTTCTTGGTACCAGAGATTCACTCACTAGGGAAAAAGTTAGGGTGGGCATATCACTTGTGCTTTTACAATGGCACATGTCAAGCTTCTCTCTGATAGGAGGTAGAAGGGAAGAGAATTTGGAAAGGAGAGGAGAAAAAAAGAGAGAATTCTGTATTGTCTGTGTTTTAAGCAGAATTTGCAGATGATAGCATATGTCAGATACTGTGTTAAGCATTTTATATGTGTTTTCATTTATATGAATTTTCACAACAGCCTTAGATGACAGTTACTATAGTTGCTATTAAACGCCATTTATATGTTTATATTTGGAAACTGAGACTCAGAGATGTTGAGAACTTGCTGAAAGTTACACACATAGTGAATAGTAAATTTAATGCATAAACCCAAGTATTTCTGACAATAATGTAAGTCTTACTTTCATTAAAAAAGCTATTTTGTTCTATACATCTGAGTCTCTTTTTCTGTTTTGCATATAGGGTTATCGTTACCATCTTTCTAAATTCCATATATAGCCCAGGTTGGGTGCATGAGACAAGTGCTCGGACTTGGTGTACTGGGAAGACCCAGAGGGATAGGGTGGAGAGGGAGGTGGGAGGGGGGACCGGGATGGGGAATACATGTAAATCCATGGCTAATTCATTTCAATGTATGACAAAAACCACTGCAATGATGTAAAGTAATTAGCCTCCAACTAATAAAAATAAATGGGAAAAAAAACAAAAAAAAAAAACAAAAATAAAAATAAAAAAATAAAAAAGCTATTTTGATAGTCTAAGTTTATCAGTGAGATGTCAGTAGAGTCTAATTATGTGGGGAAGAAATACAGAGTACAATGCAGGTTCCAAACTTTCTCCTACATTTTATTAAAAAATCCTCTGCAGATGGTTAGGATATATCCTTAGAAGCATCGCATCCCTAGGGGAGATGCAATAATGAAACTGATACAGTTACATTTTAATGCAGATCTAAAGGGAGACTGTTGCCATAGTGCTGAAGAATGAAGATGGTTCAGTAAAAGATACTAGGTAAAAGTCTCAAACAATGTGGTCCCAAGTTCCCTTCTCTCTGATCATGTGGTTTGATTCACAAGTCATTTCAGGATATCTAAGTAAGGACTTATGCTCAAGAAGTGGGTGTGCACCCTTAAGAAGAGAAAATCTCTGAGGCTGTTTCACACTCTCATTCTCCAGCTTCTTATTTGCTTTATCTTGTTTTCAATCATTTGTTCATACTGGGAGAAGTTGTTGATTGGAACTGAGTTTGTGGACAATGAAGGAGGCAAAAAAAAGAGAGAGAGAAAATTAGTAATGGAGAATAATGCGTGTATTTCATGTCCACTGAACCATTAAGCATATGCATTTTGGACTAGGAACAGTTCAGTTCAGTTCAGTCGCTCAGTCGGGTCTGACTTTTTGTGACCCTATGAATCACAGCACGCCAGGCCTCCCTGTCCATCACCAACTCCCGGAGTTTACTCAAACGCATGTCCATCGAGTCGGTAGGTGGACTAGGATACCTCAGTCCAAATTCTGACTCTGCCACTTATTAGCTGTGTAATGTCAGGTAAATCACTTAACCTGTTTGAGGATCAGGGTATTTGGGAACCAGGTTTGGAATCCAAAAAGAGTTCCCCCCCCCACCTCCTGTTTTGACTGTTTTCTGCCGCAGTTTCCAGCTTTCCTAGGAGATACTCCAGAGCAACTATCACACCAAGAGCAGAGATACACACACATCCCTGGGGAAAAAACTTATCAAATGCAAAACCACCAATGCACTCGGCACTCCCTCTTGCCTGCTCCTTGGTGAGAACTGGTCTAGGAGCTAGAGCAGGAAGTAGAGCAATTACTCCATATTTGTCTCCGAGGAGCAGCAGGAGACCCAGCCTCCAGAGGCCCCGAACCTAGAAACACGCCCATGGCGAGTGCACAAAGCGCCTCTCACATCCTTCACTGCAGTCTGGGCACTGCTCCCCTGCTGGCCCGATGCAACCAGAGGTCTGGGTCCTCACTGTCACTGGTTAAGACAAGCCCTGGGTGCTTGAGGCATGATCCTCTGAGGCTACAAGGAGACCTGTGGGAGCAGGGTGGGTTCCTTGGTAGAGATGTTTTGGGGCAGGAGAAATGTGGTGAGGGCTGTGAGAAACAGGAGGGTTAGCTTCCCTCTGAGACCCACAAAGATGCCAGTTCTGCCTGCCTCCTCTCTGAGCATCCTGAGATGAGAGCTGGTAATGGCTCCCTTAAGGAGCAGATCCTCTATATCTGCTTTCTGCAGTGGAAGAGGTTAAGTTCAGAGGTGGCTGTGATATATAGTATTCAAGGATATGGGAGGTGGCTTTAGAGTCCCAGTTTGTATTTACTACCTTGTGATATTATACAAGTGATTCACTTTACTGATTTGGAAAGCTCATTTGTGAAATGGATATAGTAAAATTGATGAGTAGTCATTTCAATATTGCTTTATAGCATGCTTAGAGTTAAAGGTGGCAGCTGTTACTACTTGTGAATTAGATGAGCCAAGGACTTGGAAGCCAAAGATCGTGGATCTTAGTGAATATTTCAGAGGGATGATCATAACCTGGACTTAGCTATTCAACTAGTTCATATCACCTTGCTTTTGCATTAAATCCCTGTCTCTGGCTGTTCCTTCCCAGGTATGATGAATGGGGAACAATAGGCACCATGTGGGAAGATCTAGGACTTGGGATGTGCACATATATGAGCTGGATTGGGGGGGGGGTCCTCTATCAAAGAGAGTTAGAAATATCACCTTTTGTACAGTCTCTGACATGTCTGTCTTCTCTCCCTTCAGAAAGTGTGGCAGCATGGTCCAGAAAAACCAGTCCAGTGCCACTGAATTCCTCCTCTTGGGGCTTTCTGAGAGCCCAGAGCAGCAGCCCCTTCTATTTGGCATCTTCCTGGCCTTGTACCTGGTCACCATGCTAGGAAATCTGCTCATCATCCTGGCCATCGGCTCTGACCCCCACCTCCACACCCCCATGTACTTCTTCCTGGCCAACCTCTCTTTGGCTGATGCCAGTTTTTCTTCCACCACGGTTCCCAAGATGCTGGTGAACATCCAGACTCACAGTCAGACCATATCCTACGGGGGGTGTTTGGCCCAGATGCACTTGTTCATGACATTCGGGGCACTGGATGACTTCCTCTTGGGGGTGATGGCCTATGACCGCTATGTGGCCATCTGCCGGCCCCTTCACTACTCCACACTCATGAGTCCTCTTGTGTGCATGCTCCTTCTGGCAGCATGCTGGGTTCTCACCAACCTCGCTGCCCTCTTGCACACCCTGCTCATGGCCAGGCTTTCTTTCTGTGCAGACAACACTATCCATCACTACTTCTGTGACGTGGTTCCTCTGCTGCAACTCTCCTGCTCAGATACCAGCATCAACCAGGTCGCCCTGTTCATTGTGTGCTCTATGATACTGACTGGTCCTCTCTCCCTGATCATCCTGTCATACGCACGTATCATCTCCAGCATCCTCAGGGTCCCATCTGCCTCTGGCAGGCAAAAGGCCTTTTCCACCTGTGGGTCCCACCTCACGGTGGTCTTCTTGTCCTACGGCATGGCAATCGGGGTCTACCTGTGTCCTCCTTCATCACATTCTAGGGGTGAGGACAGGCTTGCGGCTGTGTTTTACACTGTGGTGACACCGATGCTGAACCCCTTCATTTACAGCCTCAGGAACAAGGATATGAAGGTGGCACTGAGCAGGCTTTTGGCAATTCACACACTCTCTTCTCAGGGACTTTAATCCTCAAGCCATATTTTGCAATTTCACTCTGTAGAACTCATGTGTTTGTAAAGCAATACCATCCCCTACCATATTTACTTACATTTTGAGAAAAGTGATCTCAAAATCATTCACTGAAGCCCCCGAATCCTACAATGTGAATCATCAGTGTGTTTCATGAATGACAAGTACTGTCTTATAAACACTGGGCACAGAGAGAAATTTTAACACTTTGTTATGTTCCTCTCTGCCTACCACCCCTAGTTCATACTGTAGTGATCTATGGTGATGGCTTCCTTCTTGGGACAAGTCCTCTGTCTACCTTCTTTTAGGAAGTTCTGGGAAAGGTTGAGGTTCTTCCTGAGTCTTTTAGGCCTTAATTGTTGTCAGCTAGAACTAATCAACAAGTTAAAGAAACACTTTGGGGTGGCAAATACTACTCCACGAGTCTAGTCTTTCCCATCAGAACCCTGGATTCAGGACAGGAGTGGGTGTGATTTTCCAGTACATGCTGTGCTTTGGCTAGTTTCTTTAAATACTTATGTGGAGTCATTTGGCTTTCATATCATGCCTTTAGTGGCTAGCTGTCCATCCTGTCAATTCTTGTCTTTCATTAATATGTCTAGAAAAGGGAGCAAAGTGAACCAAATTCACAAGTGTCAGTTTTACCTTTGGCATTTATTTTTTTTTAAATTATTGAAGTATAGTTGGTTTACAATGTTGTGCTTGATTTCTACTGTATAGCAAGTGACTCAACTATTCTTTTCCAAAGAATTTGTCTATTTCATCCAATTGGACAAATTTATCCATACAAAGTTTGCCACTTCTGATCATTGAGAATTCTTTCTTTCCATGATATATTTAATTTTTTCTCTCATTTTTCCTAACTATCTAGTAGCTGTTTGTCAGTTTTTTTTGTTTCTCAAAGAATCAGCTAGTTTCTTTTAAATGACTCTATCTCTTATCAATACTTGTTTCATATTGATGTATGGATGTGAGAGTTGGACTATAAAGAAAGCTGAGTGTCGAAGAATTGATGTTCAATTGATTTTGAACTGTAGTATTGGAGAAGACTCTTGAGAGCCCTTGGACTGCAAGGAGATCCAACCAGTCCATCCTAAAGGAAATCAATCCTGAATATTCATTGGAAGGACTGATGCTGAAGCTGAAACTCCAATACTTTGGCCACCTGCTGCAAAGAACTGACTCATTTGAAAAGACCCTGTTTCTGGGAAAGTTGAAGGTGGGTGGAGAAGGGGATGACAGAGGTGGAGATGGTTGGATGGCATCACTGACTCAATGGACAAGAGTTTGAGTAGGCTCTGGGAGTTGGTGATGGACAGGGAAGCTTGGTGTGCTGCAAGTCCATGGGATCTCAGAGTCGGACATGACTGAGCGACTGAACTGAACTGAAATTATCAATACTGTATTTCACTACTTTTGTGTTTATTTTTATTGTGTCTTCCTTCTACTTACTTTGGGTATCTCTTATTGTGCCTTTTATAGCTTTCTAAGGTAGAACATTTTGTTATTTTTGTTGATGTTTTTTATTCTCTGTCAGTTTAAGTATTTAGCGTGATAAATTTCCCTTTAAGTATTGCTTTATCTGAAGTGCATCAATGTTGATATGTTGTCTTTTCTATGTCTTGTAACTTAAAATATTGTTTTATTTCCTTTGTGATTTATTTTTTGTCTCTTGAGTTTTATATATGTCTTATGCTTAATTTATGGAGTCCTACATATTTTATTATTTATTAATTTTTAAAAGTTTTTTGTTTTTAATTATTTTATACTTGATTATGAAATAATTTTAGTCTCTCAGAATACTGCAAAAATACTGAACAGTATTCTTATATACCTGATAACCAGTTTTCTCAATTATTGTAGTGTACTTATCGAAATCAAGATATTATTAATATTGATAAACTTTTATTAAATAATCAGTAGACTTCATTCAAATTTTGTTACTTGTCCCAGTAATGTCCTTTTTCATGTAGGAGCCAACCCAAGATCACACATTAAATTTCACTGTCAAAATTTCCTTTAATTTTGTATAGTTCTTTTGGTTTTCATGTCCTTGATATATATGAAGAGTACTGGACAACTTTGATTTTCATGTCCTTGATAGATATGAAGAGCACTGGACAGCTATTTTGTAGAAGTTTGTCCCTCATTTGGAGTTATCAGATGTTTCTTCATGATTAAACTGAGCTGATACCACTTTGATATATCACAAAAGTGCAGTTGTATCCTTATTACATCATATCAGGAAGTGAATAGAGTTGGTATGTTTTTCTCTCTCAGTTTAAGTGCTGTTTGTCTTTATTTGTGACAGAAACTATAAATACCTTTTTTTTTTTCAGTTTTTCAACTATCTTTTAATTTGTTTGCAGGGTTTCTTTGTCATGAAAAGTTTGAAGTTTTTATATGATCACATTTATCCAATGTGTTACCTCTTGATTTTGAATGAAAGTTGTCCTCAATACTGATGTTAAAGGGAAATTATCATGTTTCTTCCTAGCACCTGTATGACAAATGGCAATTCACTTACTCTAGGACATCTGTTAAACAATGCATATTTGTGCCATTATGTAAGTTCTATCTGTATCATATTCTAAATTTTCATTTCTGTATATGTTATTCTATTCTGTTCTATTCACTTGCCTATTTGTTGATTCATTCATCAGTTCCACACTCTTTTAATTACTGCATTTAAGAAACACTTTCTATCCTTAAGCAGCTAAACATAGAGATCCAAAATAGCTAAAGGTTATAAATACATCAAGGCTGTATATTGTCACTCTGCTTATTTAACTTATATGCAAAATGCTGGGCTGGAAGAAGCACAAGTTGGAATCAAGATTGTGGGGAGAAATACCAATAACCTCAGATATGCAGATGACACTACCCTTATGGCAGAAAGTGAAGAAGAACTAAAGAGCTTCTTGATGAAAGTGAAAGAGGAGACTGAAAAAGTTGGCTTAAAGCTCAACATTCAGAAAACTAAGATCATGGCATCCGGTCCCATCACTTCATGGGAAATAGATGGGGAAACAGTGGAAACAGTGGCAGACTTAATTTTTTGGACTCCAGAATCCCTGCAGATGGTGATTGCAGCCATGAAATTAAAAGATGCTCACTCCTTGGAAGGAAAATTATGACCAACCTAGTTCAGTTCAGTCGCTCAGTCATGTCCAACTCTTTGTGACCCTGCCGGGGTTCAGCCCCGGTGGAGTCTAGGGGTTTCCTTCCGATGAGCGGCGTCCGGGAAGAAAAAAAAAAGCGAGTCTTGGTTGAGTGCAGAATCAAGACTACTTTATTCTTTTACACCAGTGCTTATATACCCTAAAACCAATAATCCTTTATAGAGGTTTAAGGAGGGGGGAATGATAAGATTGTACCAGGTGCAGCGGCTAGTCAACTGTGAAAAACTATCTACAAATCTTATCCTGGGAAGCTCAGCCCTGGGCGGACTTAGCTCTGGTATGTAATCCTAAGGGTCAGAGGTCTCATGAATTCCTTCCTGATCACACCCCAAGGAATCTTCTCAATCTCGTAATGGACTCTTTATCTACTTTTGCTTATGGGATAGATAGGCCTGTTGCTAGCAGACTTGGTTTTGTGATAGAAGGGTTTTTGTGCAGTCGTGAGCACTCCAGTTTCTAAATTGGCAATCGTAATTCCAACAGAGCCAGAAGAGGCAGGATGTTCTGTGTAATATTTTCCTTACCTCTGGCTTGTTTATTGGGACCCACGTGTTGCTGCCATTTAAAGGTTTAAAGGAGGGATTTTAGGTAAGAGTCAGACTAGTTTTTAGGGAACATAGAAGAATGCCAAACATCAGAAGATGAAAGTTCGAAGGCCTGGGAGTGGATGGTGGGGCGGTCCCGAGAAATCCCCGGAGGTCCAGATGCCTTTGCGTGTGGAGCCGTTCCGGAGGTCCGGACGCGTTTGCCTGCCAGCTCCTTGAACCCAGAGCTTGTCACGGGCGGGGTTTCTCTCACCGGCTCCCAACATGATCCCATGAACGACAGCACGACAGGCGTCCCTGTCCATCACCAGCTCCTGGAGTCCACCCAAACCCGTGTCCATTGAGTCGGTGATGCCATCCAACCACCTCATCCTCTGTCGTCCCCTTCTCCTCCTGCCCTCAATCTTTCCCAACATCAGGGTCTTTTCAAATGAGTCAGCTCTTCGCATCAGATGGCCAAAGTATTGGAGTTTCAGCTTCAACATCGGTCCTTCCAATGAACACCCAGGACTGATCTCCTTTAGGATGGACTGGTTGGATCTCCTTGCAGTCCAAGGGACTCTCAAGAGTCTTCTCCAACACCACAGTTCAAAAGCATCAATCCTTCAGTGCTCAGCTTTCTTTATAGTCCAACTCTCACATCCATACATGATGACTGGAAAGACCAGTGACTGAACTGAACTGAAACACCTGTTTAGAAACAATAACTTTATAGAAAAGGTTTCAAAAGTATGTGAATACATACAGAAGTGAATTAATAATTCTCTCTGGGTGCATGAATCCAGGATGATTTCATTCAGAAGGAAGCATTTGTAATGGGCCTTGAAGTGAGGGTAGGTCATTGCAAAACAGAAAATAGGAGAAGTTTATCAAGGCAGGAGAAATATATGAAAAGATACAGAATAATGTGAAGAAAGGAAGATGACAATCTATCACTTTATAGCTGAGGGGACATGTGAATCTAATGTTCCTGATCCCAGGATCTCCAGTCATTTTCTTGATGTCAACTTGACAATATATGCAAACTTGGAACTGCCACTTAAGATGGCTCCTGGCCATTAATTCATTGGTTAATGCATGCTTATTGTTCAATTAATCCTAAAACACCAAAAAGCAAGAAAGGTTGGTGGAACCTACATTTGTTGAGACTTCAGGCAGCAAGAAAATTTGGGGATTTACCACTCTCTGGTAACCCTGATTGGCATCAGTAGGAAGCATGGAGAGTAGCAGATAATTATAATTGCATGCACCACTCAAGGAGAAGATGGTCCAGGGTCATGATAGAGCCTTACTATTGAGATACATCCCCAATGTCTTTTTAAACTTGGAAACAATTTCTTGGTACCAGAGATTCACTCACTAGGGAAAAAGTTAGGGTGGGCATATCACTTGTGCTTTTACAATGGCACATGTCAAGCTTCTGTCTGATAGGAGGTGGAAGGGAAGAGAATTTGGAAAGGAGAGGAGAAAAGAAGAGAGAATTCTGTATTATTTGTTTTTTAAGCAGAATTTGCAGAGGATAGCATATGTCTCAGATAATGTGTTAAGCATTTTATATGTATTTTCATTTATATGAATTTTCACAACAGCCTTAGATGACAGTTACTGTAGCTGCTATTAAATGTTATTCATATATTTATATTTGGAAACTGAGACTCAGAGATGTTGAGAACTTGCTGAAAGTTACACAGACAGTGAATAGTAAATTTAATGCATAAACCCAAGTATTTCTGACAATAATGTAAGTCTTACTTTCATTAAAAAAGCTCTTTGATAGTCTAAGTTTATCAGTGAGATGTCAGTAGAGTCTATGTGGGGAAGAAATACAGAGTATAATGCAGGTTCCAAACTTTCTCCTACATTTTATTAAAAAATCCTCTGCAGATGGTTAGGATATATCCTTAGAAGCATCGCATCCCTAGGGGAGATGCAATAATGAAACTGATACAATTACATTTTAAAGCAGATCTAAATGGAGACTGTTGCCATAGTGCTGAAGAATGAAGATGGTTCAGTAAAAGATACTAGGTAAAAGTCTCAAACAATGTGGTCCCAAGTTCCCTTCTCTCTGATCATGTGGCTTGATTCACAAGTCATTTCAGGATATCTAAGTAAGGACTTATGCTCAAGAAGTGGGTGTGCACCCTTAAGAAGAGAGAATCTCTGAGGCTGTTTCACACTCTCATTCTCCAGCTTCTTATTTGCTTTATCTTGTTTTCAATCATTTGTTCATACTGGGAGAAGTTGTTGATTGGAACTGAGTTTGTGGACAATGAAGGAGGCAAAAAAAAGAGAGAGAGAAAATTAGTAATGGAGAAGAATGCGTGTATTTCATGTCCACTGAACCATTAAGCATATACATTTTGGACTAGGATCTGTTCAGCTCAGTTCAGTCTCTCAGTCGTGTCTGACTCTCTGTGACCTATGAATCGTAGCACGCCAGGCCTCCCTGTCCATCACCAACTCCCGGAGTTTACTCAAACTCATGTCCATTGAGTTGGTAGGTGGACTAGGATACCTCAGTTCAAATTCTGACTCTGCAGAAATATAGATCAATGGAACAGAATAGAAAGCCCAGAGATAAATCCACGAACCTATGGACATCTTATCTTTGACAAAGGAGGCAAGGATATACAATGGAATAAAGACAACCTCTTTAACAAGTGGTGCTGGGAAAACTGGTCAACCACTTGTAAAAGAATGAAACTAGAACACTTTCTAACACCATACACAAAAAGAAACTCAAAATGGATTAAAGATCTAAATGTAAGACCAGAAACTATTAAACTCCTAGAGGAGAACATAGGCAAAACACTCTCCGACATAAATTACAGCAGGATCCTCTATGACCCACATCCCAGAATATTGGAAATAAAAGCAAAAATAAACAAATGGGACCTAATGAAACTTAAAAGCTTTTGCACAACAAAGGAAACTATAAGCAAGGTGAAAAGACAGCCCTCAGATTGGGAGAAAATAATAGCAAATGAAGCAACAAAGGACTAATCTCAAAAATATACAAGCAACTCCTGCAGCTCAATTCCAGAAAAATAAATGACCCAATCAAAAAATAGGCCAAAGAACTAAATAGACATTTCTCCAAAGAAGACATACAGATGGCTAACAAACACATGAAAAGATGCTCAACATCACTCATTATCAGAGAAATGCAAATCAAAACCACAATGAGGTACCATTACACGCCAGTCAGGATGGCTGCTATCCAAAAGTCTATAAGCAATAAATGCTGGAGAGGGTGTGGAGAAAAGGGAACACTCTTACACTGTTGGTGGGAATGCAAACTCGTACAGCCACTATGGAGAACAGTGTGGAGATTTCTTTAAAAGCTGGAAATAGAACTGCCATATGACCCAGCAATACCACTTCTGGGCATACACACCGAGGAAACCAGATCTGAAAGAGACACGTGACCCCAATGTTCATCACAGCACTGTTTATCATAGCTAGGACATGGAAGCAACCTAGATGCCCATCAGCAGATGAATGCATAAGGAAGCTGTGGTACATACACACTATGGAATATTACTCAGCCATTAAGAAGAATTAATTTGAATCAGTTCTAATGAGATGGATGAAACTGGAGCCCATTATACAGAGTGAAGTAAGCCAGGAAGATAAAGAACATTACAGCATACTAGCATATATATATGGAATTTAGAAAGATGGTAACGATAACCCTATATGCAGAACAGAAAAAGAGACACAGATGTACAGAACAGACTTTTGGACTCTGTGGGAGAAGGCGAAGGTGGGATGTTTTGAGAGAACAGCATTGAAACGTGTATATTATCTATGATGAAACAGATCACCAGCCCAGGTTGGATGCATGAGACAAATTCTCGGGCCTGGTGCACTGGGAAGACTCAGAGGGATCAGGTAGAGAGGGAGGTGGGAGAGGGGATCGGATTGGGGAATACATGTACCTCCATGGCTGATTCATGTCAATGTATGACAAAACCCACTACAATATTGTAAAGTAATTAGCCTCCAACTAATAAAAATAAATGAAAAAAAAATACAAAAAAAAAAAAAAGAAAATTCTGACTCTGCCACTTATTAGCTGTGTAATGTCAGGTAAATCACTTAACCTGTTTGAAGATCAGGGTATTTGGGAACCAGGTTTGGAATCCAAAAAGAGTCCCCCCCCCCACCCCCGCCACCTCCTGTTCTGACTCCTTTCTGCTGCAGTTTCCAGCTTTCCTAGGAGATACTTCAGAGCAACTATCACACCAAGAGCAGAGATACACACACATCCCTGGGGAAAAAACTTATCAAATGCAAAACCACCAATGCACTCGGCACTCCCTCTTGCCTGCTCCTTGGTGAGAACTGGTCTAGGAGCTAGAGCAGGAAGTAGAGCAATTACTCCATATTTGTCTCCGAGGAGCAGCAGGAAACCCAGAAACCTAGCAGGAAACCTAGAAACACGCCCATGGCGAGTGCACAAAGCGCCTCTCACATCCTTCACTGCAGTCTGGGCACTGCTCCCCTGCTGGCCCGATGCAACCAGAGGTCTGGGTCCTCACTGTCACTGGTTAAGACAAGCCCTGGGTGCTTGAGGCATGACCCTCTGAGGCTAAAAGGAGACATGTAGGAGCAGGGTGGGTTCCTTGGTAGTGATGTTTTGGGGCAGGAGAAATGTGGTGAGGGCTGTGAGAAACAGGAGGGTTAGCTTCCCTCTGAGACCCACAAAGATGCCAGTTCTGCCTGCCTCCTCTCTGAGCATCCTGAGATGAGAGCTGGTAATGGCTCCCTTAAGGAGCAGATCCTCTATATCTGCTTTCTGCAGTGGAAGAGGTTAAGTTCAGAGGTGGCTGTGATATATAGTATTCAAGGATATGGGAGGTGGCTTTAGAGTCCCAGTTTGTATTTACTACCTTGTGATATTATACAAGTGATTCACTTTACTGATTTGGAAAGCTCATTTGTGAAATGGATATAGTAAAATTGATGAGTAGTCATTTCAATATTGCTTTATAGCATGCTTAGGGTTCAAGGTGGAAGCTCTTACTGCTTGTGAATTAGATAAGCCAAGGACTTAGAAACCAAGGATCGTGGATCTTAGTGAATTTTCAGAGGGATGATCATAACCTGGACTTAGCTATTCAACTAGTTCATATCACCTTGCTTTTGCATTAAATCCCTGTCTCTGGCTATTCCTTCCCAGGTGGGATAAACAGGGAACAATAGGTACCATGTGAGAAGATCCAGGACTTGGGATGTGCACATATATGATCTGGATGAAGGGGCGTCTCTTTCAAAGAGAGTTGGAAGTACAACGTTTTGTACAGTCTCTGACATCTCTGTCTTCTCTCCCTTCAGAAAATGTGGTGGCATGGACCAGAAAAACCAGTCCAGTGTCACTGAATTCCTCCTCTTGGGGCTTTCTGAGAGCCCAGAGCAGCGGCCCCTCCTCTTTGGCATCTTCCTGGCCTTGTACCTGGTCACCATGCTAGGAAATCTGCTCATCATCCTGGCCATCGGCTCTGACCCCCACCTCCACACCCCCATGTACTTCTTCCTGGCCAACCTCTCTTTGGCTGATGCCAGTTTTTCTTCCACCACGGTTCCCAAGATGCTGGTGAACATCCAGACTCACAGTCAGACCATATCCTACGGGGGGTGTTTGGCCCAGATGCACTTGTTCATGACATTCGGGGCACTGGATGACTTCCTCTTGGGGGTGATGGCCTATGACCGCTATGTGGCCATCTGCCAGCCCCTTCACTACTCCACACTCATGAGTCCTCTTGTGTGCATGCTCCTTCTGGCAGCATGCTGGGTTCTCACCAACCTCGCTGCCCTCTTGCACACCCTGCTCATGGCCAGGCTTTCTTTCTGTGCAGACAACACTATCCATCACTACTTCTGTGATGTGGTTCCTCTGCTGCAACTCTCCTGCTCAGATACCAGCATCAACCAGGTAGCCCTGTTCATTGTGTGCTCTATGATACTGACTGGTCCTCTCTCCCTGATCATCCTGTCATACGCACGTATCATCTCCAGCATCCTCAGGGTCCCATCTGCCTCTGGCAGGCAAAAGGCCTTTTCCACCTGTGGGTCCCACCTCACGGTGGTCTTCTTGTTCTACGGCACGGCAATCGGGGTCTACCTGTGTCCTCCTTCATCACATTCTGGGGGTGAGGACAGGCTTGCGGCTGTGTTTTACACTGTGGTGACACCGATGCTGAACCCCTTCATTTACAGCCTCAGGAACAAGGATATGAAGGTGGCACTGAGCAGGATTTTGGGAATTCACACACTCTCTTCTCAGGGACTTTTATCCTAAATCCATATTTTGCAGTTATGCTCTGCAGAACCCATGTGTTTGTAAAGCAATACCATCCCCTACCATATTTAGTGAAAAGTGACCTCAAAATCATTCACTTAAGCCCCCAAATCCTACAATGTGAATCATCAGTGTATTTCATGAATGACAAGTACTGTCTTATAAACACTGGGCACAGAGAGAAATTTTAACAGACTTGGTTAGGTTCCTCTCTGTCTGCCACCTCTAGTTCATACTGTAGTGATCTATGGTGATGGCTTCCTTCTTGGGACAAGTCCTCTGTCTACCTTCTTTTAGGGAGTTCTGGGAAAGGTTGAGGTTCTTCCTGAGTCTTTTAGGCCTTAATTGTTGTCAACTTGAACTAATGGACAAGTCGAAAAGATACTTTGGTGTGGCAAATATTGCTCCACGAGTCTAGTCTTTCCCATCAGAACCCTGGATTCAGGACAGGAGTGGGTGTGATTTTCCAGTACATGCTGTGCTTTGGCTGGTTTCTTTAAATACTTATGTGGAGTCATTTGGCTTTCATATCATGCCTTTAGTGGCTAGCTGTCCATGCTGTCAATTCTTGTCTTTCATTAATATGTCTAGAAAAGGGAGCAAAGTGAACCAAATCCACAATTGTCAGTTTTATCTTTGGCATTTATTTTTTTAAAAACTTATTGAACTATAGTTGGTTTACAATGTCGTGCTTGATTTCTACTGTACAGTAAGTGACTCAACTATTCTTTTCCAAAGATTTTGTCTATTTCATCCAGTTGGACAATTTTGTCCACATAAAGTTTACCACCACTGATCAGTGAGAATTCTTCTTCCTTCTATGATATATTCAACTGGCTTTCTCTCATTTTTCCTTACTATCTGGTAGCTGTTTATCAGTTTCGCTGATTTTTCAAAGAATCAAATTGTTTCTTTTTATTGTCTCTATCTCTTATCAATACTGTGTTTCAGTACTTCTGTATTTATTTTTATTATGTCTTCCTTTTACTTATACTTTTATTTTTATTATCCTTCCTTCTACTTATACAGATACTTCTGGAATCTTTTATCTTGCCTTTTATAGCTTTCTGAGGTAGAACATTTTGTTATTTTTTGTTGATGTTTTTATTCTCTTTCAATGTAAGTATTTAAAGTGATAAATTTCCCTTTAAGCAATGCTTTATCTGAAGCTGGTCAACGTTGATATGTTGTCTTTTCTACATTTTGCAACTTAAAATATTATCTCATTTCCCTTTTTATTTTTTGACTCATGATTTCTTTTCAGAAGTATGGTGGTTAATTTATGGGTTCCTACATATTTCATTATTTATTATTTGTTAAATTTGTTCTGTGTTGAATTATTTTGCACTTGATTGTGAAATAATTTTAAATTCTCAAAATGGTGTAAAATAGTGAATAATATTGTTATACATCTGATAACCAGTTTTCCCAGTTACTGTAATGTACTTATCAAAATCAAGGTATTAATATTGATAAGCTTCTATTAAAAAATCAGTAGACTTTTTTTCAAATTTTGCTACTTGTCCCCGTAATGTCCTTTTTAAGCTTGGAGGCAATCCAGGATCACACACTATATTTCACTGTCAATTTTCCTTTAATATTGTATAGTTCTTTTGTTTTTTATGTCCTTGATATATATGAAGAATACTGGACAATTATTTTGTAGAATTTTGTCCCTCATTTGGAGTTATCAGATGTTTCTTCATGATTAGACTGAGTTGATAACAGTGTGACGTATCACAAAAGTGTAATTGTCTCCTTATTACATCATATCAGGTAGTGAATAGAGTTGGTATGTTTTTCTCTCTCAGTTTAAGTGCAGTTTGTCTTTATTTGTGACATACATTGCAAATATCTTTTTTTAATCAGTTTGTCAACTGTCTTTTACTTTGTTTACAGGTTTCTTTGTCATGAAAAGTTTTAAGTTTTTATATGATCAAATTTATCCAATTTGTGTTACCTCTTGATTTTGAATGAAAGTTATTCTCAGTACTGATGTTAAAGAGGAATTTACCATGTTTCTTCCTAGTACCTGTATGACAAATGGCAATTCACTTGTTCTAGGACACTTATTAAAACAATGCATCTGTGTACCAGCATGGAAGTTCTATCTGTATATACTCTAAATTTTATTTCTGAGCATTCTATTCTATTTTGTTCTATTCACTTGCCTATTTGTTGATTTATTTACCAGTTCCACACTCTTTTAATCACTGCATTTAAGACACACTATCTATCCTCAAGCAACTAAACATGTGGACCCAAAATAGCTAAATGTAAACATCTATTTACAATCACTTTATAGAAAAGTTTGCAAAAGTGTGTGGGTACATACATGTGTAAATTAATAATTCCCTCTGGGTGGGTGAATCCAGGAGGATTTCACCCAGAAGGAAACGTTTGTAATGGGCCTTGAAGTGAGAGTAGATCATTGCAAAACAGAAAATAGAAGTGTCCAAGGCAGGAGAAATATCTGAAAATATACAGAATAATATCAAGAAAAGATGAGAATCTATTGCCTTATATATGAGGCAACATGATAATCTATTGTTCCTGATCTCAGGATCTCCAATCATTCTCTTGATGTCAACTTGACAATCTGTGCAGACTGGGAACTGCCACTTAAGATGGATCCTGTCCATTAATTCATTAGTTAGTGTCTACTTTATGATTCAGTTGATCCTCAAACACTAAAAAGCAAGAAAGGGTGGTGAAAACAACATTTGTCTAGACTGCAGGCAGCAAGAAAAGTCAGGGATTTGCCACTTTATTGTAACCCTGATTGGCATCAGTAGAAGGCATGGAGAGTAGCAGAGAATTATAATTGCTTGCACCATTCAAGGAGAAGGTGGTTCAGATAGAGCCTTAGTATTGAGACACATCCCCGGTATCTTTTTAAACTTGGAAGCAATTTCCTGATACCAGAGATTCACTCACTAGGAAAAAGTTAGGGTGGACATATCACTTGTGCATTTACAATGGTAAATGTCAGGCTTCTCTCTGACAGCAGGTGGAAGGGAAGCAAGAAGTTGGGAAGGAGAGAAGAAAAGAGAGAGAAAAGAAGAGAAAATTTGATATTATTTGTATTTTACACAGAATTTGCAGATTATAAGTATCACTGTGATAAGCATTTTATGTGTTATCATTTATATGAATTTCACAGCAGGCTTAGATGAAAGTTACTTTAGTTGCTATCAAATACTATTCACATGTTTATATATGGAAGCAGACTCAGAGATGTTGAGAACTTGTTAAAAGTCATACAGACAGTGAACAATAAATCTAATTTATAAACCCTAGTATTTCTGATACTAATGTAAGTTTTACTTTCATTTAAAAAACTATTTAAAAAATCTGAGTTTATCAGTGAGATCTCAGTAGAATCTCAGTTATGTGGGGAAGAAATACAGAGTGCAGTGCAGCTTCCAAATTTCCTCCTATATTTTATTAAAAAATCCTCTGCAGATTGTTAGAATATATCCTTAGCAGCATCCCTGGGGAGATGCACTAGTAAAACTGATACAGCTACTTTTTAAAGCAGATCTAACCTGGAATGTCACCATATTGCTGAAGAAAGTTTCATGAAAGAAACTTGGTGAGAGTCTCAAACAATATGGTCCCAACTTCCCTTCTCTCTGATCATGTGGCTTGATTCACAAGTTATTGCAGGATATCTAAGTAAGGGCTTATGCTCAAGCAGAGAGTGCACTCCTAAGGAGAGAGAATCTCTGGGCCTGTTTCACACTCTCATTCTCTAGCTTCTTATCTGCCTTACCTTGTTTTCAAATCATTTGCTTGTATTGGGAGAAGTTGTTGATTGGAACTGTGTATGTGAACAATGTGAAGCAAGAAAAAAAAAAAGAAAGAAAGCTAGTAATTGAGAAGAATATGTGTATTTCATGTCCACTGAACCAAGTGTATGCATTTTGGAATCAGATATCTCGGTTCAAATTCTGGCTCTGTCACTTACTTCCTGTGGTAATAATTAATTATTTCGGGTATATAATTTAGCCTGTTTGAACCTTTGCTTTCTCTTTTGCACAATATTTGCCTTAAAGTTTCATGTTGTCTATTGCTAAAAATAATGAAGATCTAAGTAAATTTACACAACAGAGTACTTTGAGATTGATATATGCAAAGAATTCACCTGCCAATGGAGAAGATGAGATGCAGGAGATGTGGGTTCTATCCCTGGGTTGGGCAGATGCCTGTAGAAGGAAATGGCAACCCACTCCAGTATTCTTGTCTGGAAAATGCCATGGATGGAGGAGCCTGTAAGACTATGATCCGTGGGGTTGCAAAGATTCAGCATGGCTGAGCAACTGAACACACCCACCCATTTCAAATGGATAACTAACAAGGACCTGCTGTATAATACAGGAAACTCTACTCAATATTCTGTAAAAAAACTACGTGGGAAAAGAATTTGAAAAAGAAGAGATATATGCGTTTGTATAACTGAATCACTTTGCTATGTACCTGAAACTAATACAATTTTGTAAATCAACTGTTCAGTTCAGTTCAGTTCAGTTGCT